GCGGAAACAAATCGCATGAAACTTAACTACAAAAAGACGTGGGAGATGGTCATTCGCGGCAAGATAACCCGGCCACTTCTTGCGCCTCTGCCTATGATTGTTCGTAAAAGTTGGTTGAAGATACTTGGTGTAACGTTTCAAGAGAATCCTTCCATGTGGGACATGCATCTAGATGAATTAATGAGTAAAGCCTGTAGCAGAATGTACATTATTCGGATTTGCAAATACTACGGGTTTTCTAGGAAAGAGCTGGATCTTCTGTTCCATAGTCTTATTTTATCAATATTAGTTTTTGGTATAGAGGTCTGGGGATGTGCGTCGTATTCTAAGTATCTTAGTCAAGTAGATAAAGTTTTAAAACGTGCATATAAGTATGGATATCTTATGTATCAGGTATCGATTGTTGATATATTAAACAATAAAGACAGAGATTTATGGGAGAAAATAACTACGGATCCCAACCATGCCCTACAAGTTTTGCTGCCTCCTAGTCGTCAATTAGAATTACGCAATCGCGGACATGAGTATGAACTACCGAGAGTTCGAACAGAAAGGTTTAAAAGAGTGTTCGTTAATAGATGTCTTTTTAACTTCATATGATATTTTTTAAATTAGAAATTAACTTCTTAGGAACTACATTAAACATTATAATAATGGTATTTTAGCTCTATTAATGAATAATATCAATACTAATACAGTAATTAGTATAATAATTATTGATAAGTAAGTGCAAATTGTAAGCCCGCACGTTTGTTGTGAGGTGTTGCTTTTAATATTTTAATACTTCATGTTATGATTCATTCGCTAAATTCGCCTGCAAAACCGCTACAACAGGGATTATCGAAATTGGGCGATAATTATTCAAGTCCCTACGCTCACCGTGTTTAAATAATGGAATGACTTTTGAGCATTTCCATTCATCAGGAAAGATACCGGTATTAATAGAGCAGTTGAAAATTACGGTAAGGGATTCCGACAGTAGGTCAGGACAGTAGCGAAGAAGCTTAGCAGATATTTTATCTAGGCCAGTTGCTTTAGATTTACAGAGTTTGTCCAAAAGTGAACAAACCATTGATGAAGTTGTCGACTTCAACTCAAAAGTATTACCACTAATATGGCAATTGAGATATTCTAAATATGAGCAGTTATTTTCATCACAAGGTATCTTCTCCATAAGCTTAGGTCCAATGCTAGCAAAATGAGTGTTAAACGTCTCCGATAACCCCGGGGGGTCACTAACTGAAGAACCATTTAGTTTAATCTCTTTTACATGTGAATTATTTTGTTTTCTTGAGGTTAATTCATTAATAATACCCCAAGTTTTTTTCACATTACTCTCGTTTTCATAAAAAGCATTCATATAATGGGCTTTCTTCGCAAATTTAATTTCATTGTTCACAGAGTTGCGAGCTTTCTTAAAAGCAGCCCAGTCATAAATATTTTTAGATCGAATAGCCTTGATTTTTAAAATATCTCTTTCATGCATATGTCTTTTTAACTCAGGCGTGATCCAGGGCGACTTAGAAAGTCTTACCCGCCTTGTCCGTAAAGGAGCATGCATTTCCACTACGTTATTAAAGGTCGTTTTCCACACACGCCACATATCATTCGGATTATTATAGCCCTTATGACGTCCCAATTCTGTGAAAAAATATCACTTCGAAAACTTTCAGAGTTAAAATTTTTAAATTTTCGATAATTTACTGTAGAATGGCCTTTATTGTGTAGACCGGTTGAAAGCTTACGGAATGCATAAATTAAGCTGTGATCACTAATGCCGACATGAGAAACACCGGAGCAAACAATTTTATCTGGTGTATTGGTGAATATATGATCAATCATAGTTGAGGAAGTTTCAGTAATTCGAGTCGGTTCACTTATCAATTGATGTAAACCATAGAGCTCAGTGATGCCTATTAATGATCTCGAATTACTCTCTAAATCAGGCGACCCGAGATCACAATTTAGGTCACCCAATAAATAGTGCTCGACATTTTCAGCATCAAGCATGTCAATAAATGTCTCAAAATAATTAAATTTATCAACATTCGAATTTGGTGGCCTGTACCATGTCGCAACCAGAAATGGCTTAGAATTTGGTTTTTGAATTTGAATACATAGATTTTCTAAATTATCAATAGACATGTCTTTACGCTGTATGAAATTTACGCTGGAGCGTACATAAAAACAAACACCTCCATACGTTTTTCCATCTGCACTTCTAAATGCCCTGTCACGACGTATGATTTCGTATCCAGGTATATATACATCGTTATCGCTTATTGTAGAATTAAGCCATGTCTCATTTATTGTTAGGACATCGATCGGGCTAGTAGCAAGCAAAACTCGCAGCTCATCAATGATTTACTAGGCTTCTCACATTAAGTGCCGCGAGCTTAAACCCGCGCGAGGTAGGAATAACGGACTGAGTAGGATAAAGTCAATCTGAAATAGTTTTTGCAAAACCTAGTAAGTTTTGTTGTAAAGCTAAACTACCTTGTCTATTTAAATGAAGACCCCTCATATTTAAGTGGCTTGCATTCATATTTGAATTACTTAAAAAGGGGATTCTATTGCGACTACAATAGCTTTTAAGAATATTATTAGTTTGAATAGCTTTAGCAGCTAGGTCATTATTGTCATTTCTTACCAGAATAGCTGAAATGCCAACGGCTGTACCTGGTGAATCTTCTTTTATTTGTGTTACAATGTTGACAATGGAGTCTGCTATTATTTTCGGCGTAGAAGGACTTCTCAGGTCATTTGTTCCGACGTGTAAGATCATCTTGTCCGGTGTCCTTCTTGTCAATGGCTTGACAAAATCCTCCATATTTGAGACTGTTGCTCCAGGGAACGGCTTTACAATAAAATGGTGATTAGGATCGTCAGCACTCATTTTCGGACCAATAGTATTTTTAACAATTGAGTCCCCTGTAATAACAACTGTTTTCTTGCCTTGCCCTGTTGATTTAGAACTAGATGTGTTCACAATACCACCAGAAGTATCTACATCCGCAGTTTGTTGGCTGGAATTTTGTGTTGGAGGTTTGGACTTAGATTTCTTTCCCTTCTTTTTACGATTTTTCCCAGTACTAGCTTTCGGTGTTAAGATGCTTATCGTTTGCGGGCTGATTAGATGAAGGTTTTGGTTGACTGACTTCACTTCCCTCTATTGTTTCGCAAACCAATTCCACATTATTCTCGCCGTCATTTTCCACAATTGTTTTCGTGCACGTTTGTTGGTGGTCATTTTGTATTAATTTAAGAGCTGTCAACAGGCTGCTCTTTTCGCTTTCCAGATTCTTGTTTGCCATTTTCAAATCAGATATAATATGAGACATATCCATGTTTTGTTCCCTGAGTTCGTCGTTCTTTCTAATTAGCACAAGCTTATCTTCCTTTAGATCATTGACTACGTTTTCTAAAACCAAAATAGAGTAGGGTTTGTTCTCTTTAATGGTACTAGAATCTATTTATTTTCAATATAAACCAAGGATGGGAAGGTGAGAAAATAGGAATTTTCTGAGGTGTTTTTAACACAGACAATGACAGCCGACATTTTCAAAGGCAAATTGTGGTGACAAAACCAAAAGCTATTAACCTCTCTACTCAAAGCACTGAAAAACACCATAAAAAGAAAAACATTTTAAACATACATCAGGTAAGACTTTTAGCTCAATTTTCTCATGTTTTTGTTGGAAAAGCAACGGTTTTTAGCCAAAATTATTTTGCGCGCCAATGTAGGCTGCTATAAAATGTCAGACACGCGTTCTCTTTTGAAGTCTGGCTCTGAAAAACAATCGCTTTTTTTTAGTTTGAAATAAGCCTTCATAAGGACTATTGTGTAGAAATGTTATCTATATACTCACATGAAAAAGATAACCTAATATTCAGGTATTCCACATAGCTATAAAAAGGTGAAATAAGGACTTTCATCTTTGGTTGTTTGTCAGATGTGAGAAACCACAAAAGTGCCATTTTGTCGCGCGTGCTATTTTATAAAATAAACACCTCGAAACCATAAACTTTTAGTTCAGAAAATTACAAAGTTTTCCATAGACATTATTAAAAATGTTCTAGTGAAGCGATTTCATGATAAATAAGTGAGCAATGGGCCCAAAAGAACTGCTAAGCTTAGTTTTTGTTAGGACTTCAATTTCATGGCTTCCCGCAAAGGAAGCCATTTCAGAGAGAAGCGACATTTTGCCAAACAACCATCGCGACCTATTTTGATAACTTTTTCTTCTGATTCAATGTGTAGTTACTAGAAAATGATGTTTCATCAACATTATTATCTGCTTTATCGATTTAAAGTTTTATAGGGGATATAAAAACCAGTAAAAAAGCATTTTTGAAAGCTTTACAACTCAAGTGCGGACTTTTTGAGAATTCACACGTGGCAAGCAAGCGTGTTCATTCAATACACTTATTTTAAACCACAATATGTCTGAAACGAGTTGTCATTTTAACACTAAATTGATGAAAATAGATATAACAGTGACTTTGGAATATCCCTACTTATTTAGTGTAATTTAATACTCGAAGTATTCTTGCCAAAAAGGTCAAAAAAGGTCACGTACGCACAATCTGGTGTCATTTGAAACATACTTTAGCTAAAATAACAACTTGAACACGAAGACCAACAATGGGGTCACGAAAATAGTCGAAATTATGTCCAAATTTGCATAAACAGTTCGTCCAAAAAGATAACTTTAAACTAGATTCAACCAACATTAATGCAGTCGAATTTTGTGAGTATTTGATCGCATATTTCTACTCAAAAATACCCTTTAAAAAATCGTATCTGCTCACTTGTGTTCCGTGTCCATCTTTCTTGTGATTTTCGACTTCTATTTTTAATAAAGTTTGGAGAAATCCTCATCTTTTTGGCTGAAAATTTCGCGCAAGGTTCACAGAAAAACTTGGCCCAAAACGTCAATACATTCGCTTTCCTTTCATGCCAAATTTTCGTTGTATATCATCCGAAAACCTCTTCTTTTTTTGCTTTGAAAACTTGCTGTAGAATCCTTCTTTGCAACAATATCTCCATTATTCATTATTTTTGAAAAACTAAGGTTTTAAACTTGAAAAACTTTGCGAGTTTCTGACCAATTTTCTTGCATGATACACCGTTGAAAAGCTCGAATTTCACGTTCTATTTTCGTATCCGTTGCTAGGCAACCCGATAAACACGTGCTCAAATATCATACCCGCAAGTTGAGGTGTCATTTGAGGGCGCATTGTCCGTTACCCACTTGTCAATCTCAGGGCGCATACGGGCGTTAATGAGTTAATGTTGTTTATCTCGACGCTGAGATTTTGTAATTTGTTTGTCATGTTTTCAGAAAATCTGTCAAGTTTCGAATTCAGTCGACTAATCTCAGCGGAGTCGCGATTACAGCTGGCACTACTTCCCAAGGGATTATGCCTATTTGTTGATTTTGTTTGCAGATTGCCAGACTTTGTCACTGTATATAGACCGATGGACTCTTCATGCAAATTTTTTGACTTCGTGTTCGATTCATCATGCTTTGACTGGTTTCGGAATCTATACTGGCTTGTTTTTCCTCTTGGTTTTTCAATTCTTTTGCAATATCACATTGATCACTGAACGATTCTTCAAAAGTATCATCTGTGACATCGTCAGAATCGTCAGCTAGCAAACTTTCAATCAACCGTTCTAGATGAAGTTCAGCAGGATTAGCGATTTCTGAAGCATTGTCCGGGTCTTGCTTTAAAAATGAATGTATTCGTTCCATCACGTCACTGCCCTTCTCACCGTCGAAATAAATATTCTGGCTTTTTGTTAGCCAAGTAACTGATAACAACTTGCTGTCAAATAGCCATTTACCGCCACTGGGCGAGCGCCATGTAGTTGTTTCGGCAGTTTCTTCGTCAATCTCTGTGAGGACAAACACTTTCAGAGTTTCGAGCGATCCAGTCCAAATCAGTTTACTCCTTTTAATATTAAAATAACTGTACAAGATGTTCGAAACGGTTGAGGAGGCCCCCATCATATTCATGTTTCAAGGTCTATCCGGAGCACAATTTGTCCGTTGAGCGATGCATCGCATGCAGATTGCGGGCACTCTCATCAGTCCACTGATGCAGATTGCAAAATCAAGTCATGGCAGCAACTAGGATATATGCAAACACTATTTGCAAATGAGACAAATATTAATGCGAAGAAATATCCCTCGAAATTGACGGAAAAAACAGAGAACAAATAATTTGTAGTCAAATTAATTACCATGGCTTGGAATGAATCTAATCTTTCAACTGAGTACAAGAATTGAAGTATATTTATACTGTGAGATGCCCACTATGTGAAACTCGAACTGAGGGCTCTAAAGTAAGTGAAATTTATCTATATTTTACATTGTAGTACATTGTTTAGTTCAAGAAGTGTGTAAAGTGGAAAATGGGCTCCACAGTTAATGTAGATTTGTATGGTATTAACATAATAAATAAAGTTTGTGTCTATTCAATACTGCTGCTTATACCAGCAGGGGGGGATGAGGTAGTTTGACATTTTACAGTCTATAGTACACAGGTTAATTTGCATGTCTGGAGGCAAACCAGCTCCAATACCAAACTTGACAGCTTGCTTTACTGAGGCAAATCTGATTGGCTATTTCTAGCATGCAGTGGCGTAGCCAGCCCGACAATTTAGTCCCGCTATGCAAATTCAAAATTATAATCATTATTCATTTCTTTAGAAATTTATTGTTGTCACAGTCAATGAACACGAAAATATTTGCATAGCGGGACAAAATCGTTGGGCTGGCTACGCTACTGCTAGCATGACTATTCATGCCATATTTAATGTATTTTTTTTTAATTTTGGTTAATGCTATATATAATTAACTAACTATAGATTTAGTGATTGTAACTGTATTTAGCTTGTTAAATTCTGTGAAATTGACATTTCTCCTGGCACATTTTGATTGGATACCGGTACTAAAAATAAAACTATGGTGTGGGTCAAGTCTTGCATCAGGCTCTGTATGGAATTACAGTGCATAATAATATTGCAGGTTAATTAATGAGATTTCTAATAGTGATGTAATATTGGTTAGAAGACTAAGGGGGAGTTTACATTGAAAGGTACATGTAATTGGTTCAAGTTGCAAGTTCCAGTGGTATCTCCTATTACATTTCATTTTCATTTTATATGGAAATGAGCTGGCATGCTTCATGACAAGGGTCTAATTAGCCATTCTCACACCACCATTTTTTGGACAAATGATGGTAAATTTGCTCTGTAAATGGTTAGTTTATCTTCAAAAATTGTTGTGTTTAATTGTCTGCATTGGTTAGCGAAAATTGGATGCCCAAAAATGGCGGATATTCATCATTGTGAGAAAGGTTAATTGCTTTGCATTGCCCGAGTTATTGGGCAATTACTGTACACTGGATATTTAGCAAACAAAGATGATTACCTGGGCTTGCTCGCCTGTTAATCCGTTAGTCGGTTAGTGTACTACAAAATCTAAATAATTTGAGTCTTGAATCAGCCGATCAGGATCAAAGTTATGAGTATAACTTATAAGTTATTACTTATTAGTCTGCTACTCTGCTTTAACCCTTCGTCGGGCTGACGGGCTTCGATCTTGGCCTGTCGCGCCACACTATTAAGTATTTAAATTAAATAATTGCCTACTATGTTTGTTCATTTATTTGCCTTTATGGCTTTATACATTACATGGTGCAAATTATTTTAGTTTTGTTGTTAATTTGTTAATTGTTTTCGACTTGTAGAGTTATAGTTATAAGTCATAGTCTGATAGACTTATCGTATTGTTTAATATTTGTTATTAAAAATTACCTTTCCTTTGCTTCTTGTTTCATTTGTGACTTAGTAAAATGGCAGAAGTTCAAGTCGATGAAGTGGTTACTGTAGTTCGAGGTAAGCCGGCCCATAAGCCGAATTTACTTTACATTGTTCAATTGTTGGCTGTTGCCTGTTTTCTCTTGGCCATGGTCACAGCATGTCAGTATCTAACCTCACATCTAACTACTCTGCTCAGTCCTTTTTGCCCATAAATCTATAATACTACTAAATAGACTAGCCTGACCTGACTAGGCGGTATTACCGCCGGTATATGATATCTTTACAGATATCTTTACATATCTTTATAGAATTTCGCTTACCTCAAAATTCCTCAACAGTCTGTTTCACCTGTAAAGAATCATCAGGCGGTATGATTCTTTACAGATGAAACAGACTGTTGCGGAATTTTGAGGTAAGCGAAATTCTATATTTACTATGTCTTTATGGTATTGAGCACTCTTTACGTTTCGTATACAAAAACCTACTCGTATATATATATATAAGTATGTTTTGGTATGTTTTGGTTCGCAAAATGCTAAATAGTGCTCAATATTATTATTATTATTATTATAGAGATAGATAGAGCAAATATAGTTTTGATACACCTGAAAAGGTTTTGAAGTGGCAACCTTTTGAGGAATATCAAAACTATAATATTGATTCCTCTCGGATGAAACAGACTGTAGTGACAAGTGACAACCAAAACTATACTATTTACTTTGATGAGAGTTCAGTCCAGAGTTGCGGCTGCCAGTCGGCAGTTGCCGGGGAGTCAACAATGCCAATCACGAAGTTGTCACATATGCCCTGGACCCTGCCTGGCAGGTCAGCTGTTGGCCTGTCCCTGGGGCAGTCAAACAAGAAGTTGCACTCATTTCATTAGTTATTACTTAACATTTGGTTATTGGCTTATTGCCACTTGTATTAATATCATGAGGATGTATCCATTCCATCGATGTGACCATGCAGGGTTCAAGATTTGCGTTATTCAAGTAGCCTGACGATACCACTTTTCAGTTTTGGATACCAGATGTTAAAACCTTGGTATCTCACCTGGATACCAAGAGATTTATTGGTTAAGCCTCAATATTTTCCGTATTGAGATGCATCATGCATGACTAATGAGATGCATCATGCATGACTGATGAGATTATGATGTCTATGAGAGTGACAGATTGATAGTCCTGCAGCTTGCAATCAGCAACAATCATCAACTCACATGTTGTGATCTCATCCAGTTATCCTTATTTGACCAGTGCTCAATTCACTGTCAATTCATCTTAGTCTTACCAAATATATTTAATTAAATTAACATTTAACACTTATTGACTTGGGACCAAAGGCTAAACCTGTCAAAGAGATACAAGAATAAATTAACTTTGACAGTTTGCAGTTGGTATATAATAAATAAATTTACTTTTTCTGTTGCATAGTTTGTATTTCATGCAAGAAAGAATGTGGGCATCATTTTTGCAAAGTTTGTAAGAAACCTTGCCATGCCATTCCACCTTGCTTGAAGCCTGTTGGTGACGACGACGAAGGATATGCTGCACCAGTGCTATGCAGCAGTTGCGCACAATCAGGGACTGTTCTGGTCCAACCAAAGCAGCCTTCGAGGATTTCACAACAAGATAAAATGACAAAACATAGTGTCCACAGACCGTAGCCCATAGGAACCAATCCTTACCATAAGCCATGGTTAATTTCATGCTTTTCAAATAATAATCCAAATATTTCTCTCTATACAAATGTCCATAATAGAATCCAAGTTTGCCAGTTTTTTTAAAAGACCTGGTCGTGGTCAGGGATCAGTTTCAGCTCCGGCTGCAAAACGATCAAAAAGTGGGCACAAGAAAACGACAATGGGTATTTGCTTGCGGTGTTTCAACAGTGGAAAGGAAAAGTTTTGGCTTACTAGGGGGAATCCGTCTTCTCTTAAAAAGCACCTTGAGACAACCCATAAAGGTGAACGTACTTCTCTCGGTGATGCTGTTTCGGAGGATTCGCCTGCTGCTGTTGAGGCAATGAAAGCGTACAGAAAACTGACATCAGTGTAAGTCACAAATAATTGAGTATGAGTTATTTTTTAGATATATATTAAGGTTCTGATAAATGCCCTTCGATATTGAAAAATGAAAATAGGTGTAGTAGGTACTGAAACAGCAGTGTTATGTGTGATTATTTGATTTTAAATCTTCTGTTTTGACTAATTATTTTTGTGAATACACCATTATAGACGTACAGATGAAGGGAACAAAAGTGGTGGGTCAGAGTCCCATGTGTCAAAGTCCCAGGTGATGGATAAATTGGATGAGGATTTAGATACTGGGTATGTCACGTATGTGTGATAGTATGTTTGAACAAATGTAGAGTACACTTATATATGTGAGTTTTGATCAAACAGTTTGATCAAAACTCACATATATAAGTGTATTCTACATTTGTATTGTACACATAAATGATAAATATCCACCCAATAGAACGTTAAAGGAATACATTGAAATTGTATCATTTAGAGAACAGCTTGAATCCAGCCATGGTGATGTCTAGACAATGGCCAGTGGTAACCTGGAGTCTATAGACAAGGTCATCATTGATGGAGTCATGGATGAGTCTGAAGACTTGGGTGAAAGGTTTGTAACTTTATGTTCTTCGTTTTTTGAGTATTTAATTCATAGTCAGAATAGACATTGCATAAAGCGATTCAAGCTAGATACAATGAGGGAAACAATCTCATAACTGACCATTTCTGCAAATTGGGAAAAGTTGTGTGTTGATCTACTGTAATTTGCCATAAAATGTAGAATATAAAAATGACATAAAAAAGCCTGTATTTCTACATTGTACATCCAATGATCCAATCAGCTGAAGTATGTATTGATTTTATGGGGAAAACCTGCTTCAGCAAACTCTATTCTTTATAATGTACTGTATTAATGTATTAATGTATCAATCTATTGCCAAATAGGCAATTAGGCAAATACTAATAGAAGTGTTCTTTTTTGTTTTTTAGTTCTGCTTCTGTCAAACCAGCACCTATTATGTAAGTTTTTTCTATAGTAAAATTTTTACATTCGGTTTTGAGTGCAATTTAGGTGGAAGGCATCAAGCATGTACGATTACCGATTACGAGTGTCGAATAATATAAATGAAGGCACACACTTTTAATAGGTAATTAAACATCTTTGTGATTTTCATATTTGTACAATTGTACTCACCTAGCATTTTTTCCTTTGCTTGTCTGAGTGCAATTAAACCTTAAAACTCTTTTGCAGCAGGTCCATTACGCGTAGAACGTGCACGTTCTACGGATGTTTCGTTTATATCTTCGGTTCAGTACACGCTATGTCGATGAAAATACCGCCATTCGATTCAGTATAAAAATATATACTAATTTATAACGACAGTTTTAGTGACTGGCTACATTGTAGCGATTTATAAGCTTTGAAAGTCAAACGGGCTTAAATATGATCAAATTACGCAATATTACTAACAAATTATAAACATAGACATACCTTTCGCCGAACATAACTTCGGCCCCTTGAGACGTATGCTCATTCTTGTATTCTTGGTCAATGAAGCAGTTAAAAATAACACGTATAGTGTTATTTTCAAGCTTCTATCGTTAAAACGTGAGTTTTCTTGCAGAATTTTGCATTTCTGCCCGAATTTGCGTTAATCCCAAACCGGAAATACGACGAAAAACCGTCAAAACAATGCGTAGTTTGTATCGCGTGACTCTAGAAATGCCAGAAATGGCTTCTACAGGTCAAAGTGCACCCATACGCGTGAGTTTGACGTCATCCCGGCTAAAGGGAGCTCCTTATTGGCCAAGTATTACGTAATACAAGTGCGTGCGAGTAAAACCCGATACCTTGAAAAATTCAAAATAAATATTTCTACTCGCCGTATTCACACGAAACTTTCTACACTAAAGCGCTTGAATACAAAGAGTATTTTGCACATATATCCTTTCAGAAAATGACGCCAAATTTTAGAATATATTCAACTTTTTCTCTTTTTCCCGTTTGAATGTTTGGCGAAGCTGTGAGTATAAATATATGATTGTTTTGGTTTGTGTAATGTTTTGACGGCACTTGACCCCCCGTTCGAAAGGTTATATTGTGAGGATTTCAATGGTGGCATTTATTTCAAAGGGGGGTAAATACTCGCCGAGATATTTATATTAGAAAAATTGAATCGAAATGTAATACGAAACCGGTTGTTAAGTTCTCTGTTCACTGTTCTCTTTATTTATGTTTTGTAATGTATAATGTATTCAGCTGGCATAATTCACATAATTCACAGTACTGTAGTACAGTATTACTAAGCCAGTAAACTGTTCATAAAGTTAAAGGTTTTACAATGGCTTTGGTAATTTTAACTGCCATGTTGACTTGTCTAGTTTCCAGTCTCTGTTCTCTTTTTGTTAACTTATTTCGTAGCTAATTTATACAAATTGCATTCCAAGCATTCTATAGTAGATTAAACTTCACGCTATATATTCAAGACTCTAGTTTTAAAAACAATTGTATTAATGGTTTTGTACTTCTTTAATATGGAAGCGATAAGGCACCGTTAGGTGTGCTACATGTATTTTCTCACGTTTTTAACGTTTGAAAGTTGGAAAATTCGTCCAAAAACGTTGAACTAGCGCCGTGATTTTGACAAGGTTCCATTTTGTTTACTGTGTTTCAAACAGTTTTTTCCGAATTTTTTCCCGGTTTTTCGGGGTTTTTTTGCCCAGAACAACATCGGCTTAAATTAATCAGTTTTCAAAAACATCGTTTTTTTCAGGTTTATCGATTAACCGCCTCACCCTATGTAAAACAGTAATACACTTGTTCTGAAAACATTTTCAATTGCATATTGAAAACGTTTATAAAACAAACTTTGTCATTGACTAGTTTTAACATTTCTATTGCAACAGTGAACCAACTGTGAGTGGAGGTTCTTTCGATGACACCAACACCCAAACCAAGATTGGTAGTACTCCCTCTCGTAGCCAGCACAGCTATCAAAGCTCGTTGGAAAGTTTTCTTCCTCCCACTCCGGAAAATGAGAAAGGTGATATACCTTTTGCTCTTGATGCAATAGCAGAGAAAGTTGCGTCTGAAGTGGTGCGAAAACTTAACAATTTTGGTAAGGGAAAACAAACAGCAGCCACATTTAATCCCCTGTCGACCACTTCGTTAAATGCAGGTAATTTGCTTGAATGCCTGGATGAAATTCCAGATTTTGAGTTAATTGGCGAGGAGAACAGCCGGGTATTGCGGTGCTGCAGTTGTGCTGAGTTTTTATCTTCTCCTGTTTCGTCTTCGTTTCGCCGACCATCTGGAAAAGCAGGTGGGTCTTTGGCAACAGGCTTACAATTGTCAAACGACGTCTACGATCAATTAGTTGCTGGTAAGTGCGAAAAATGGTACCACCAGAAAGAGAGAATGATCAACCATCTTGCTTCCAAAACTCACAGCAACGCAGTTGATTTCATGAAGACTGTAAAAGCAGGCAAATCGAGGGAGATTGTCGTCGTCAAAAACCAACTCCGCGCAGCCATTGGAATCGTTAAAACCAAGTCTGCTGCCATTCAGTACGAGGAAAGAATTGCTGAGCTTCAAGCGGCAGGTGCGGATGTCGGCCATTCACGAAAGCTCTTTCCGGCAATGTTATCGGCGGCGTGTGCCTACATCGACTAGAAAACGACGACATTTCTTTCTAACCCTCTTCCAAACACGGGGATGCCACCTCACTTTTACGTGACAGCAGACAAGTCCACCAATCAAGTCACCGTCATTTGTCCGATTGTAAACGGTAGCCGAGAAGGGATTATCCTGGATGCTTGTGAGGTCTACACCAGCTCTGATGGGACTGGTGTTTGGTGAACATGTATGTTACACCAAACACGAGATTGCGTGGGAAAACTCTAAAGTAATTACCACAAACAATCGCTATGGTCAAAGACTTTGCCTAGAAGCGTGGCATATAAATATGAGTCATCATGCTTTGAATAGGGATGACGGCGCCTATTTGCCAGAAGAATATATGCATCTTCTTGGCAGGTGACGTCGTCCCTTGGGTATTTAAGAAGCCACGATCGCAGTTTTAGATCACCCCTGATGAAGACACTAGACTGGAGTGTCGAAACGTTGGGTTTTGATTACAATTCGACTGGGCTTTGTAATCATTTATTTAAACCAGAGTAGCGAGCGAAACATGAACATTACTATTATTGCTCAATTTAACTTACTATGAATGGATTTTGGTGACTCTTTTACTACTGTCTTGTCATCTGGAAATCCTCGTGCCCACTTTGTAACTTTTCATCAACGTTACTATAATTGCTCAATTTAACTGACTATGAATGGATTTTGGTGACTCTTTTACTACTGTCTTGTCATCTGGAAATCCTCGTGCCCACTTTGTAACTTTTCATCAACATTACTATAATTGCTCAATTTATCTTACTATGAATGGATTTTGGTTAATTATCTATTTATCCGGCTGTTCTCTTGTACGTTTTTAACTCAAAATGACCTGCTAACCACCACTTACCACACCTTTGCTGTTCAAGGACATTTAATAATTGAAATACCTTCCTAACCACCACTTGGTTGCTGTTTAAAGACATTTGATAACTGAAATACCTTCCTAACCACCACTTGGTTGCTCTTTAAAGACATTTAGTTACTGAAATACCCTCCCTAACCACCACTTGGTTGCTGTTTAAAGACATTTGATAACTAAAATACCTTCATGTTTCGCTCGCTACTCTGGTTTAAATAAATGATTACAAAGCCCAGTCGAATTGTAATCAAGACCCAACGTTTCGACACTCCAGTCTAGTGTCTTCATCAGGGGTGATCTAAAACTGCGATCGTGGCTTCTTAAATACCCAAGGGATGACGTCACCTGCCAAGAAGATGCATATATTCTTCTGGCAAATAGGCGCCGTCATCCCTATTCAAAGCATGATGACTCATATTTATATGCCACGCTTCTAGGCAAAGTCTTTGACCATAGCGATTGTTTGTGGTAATTACTTTAGAGTTTTCCCACGCAATCTCTTGTTTGGTGTAACATACATGTTCGGCTAAAGCTGATTTTCCCCTGTCTAAAGTTGAAACAGCCTTTTGATGTTCTTTTAGCCGTGTACCAAACTGGCGTTTAGACTGACCCAAATACTCTTTATCGCAGTCACCGCATGGTATAGAATATGTAGCATGAGTCTTCTGATTTTTTTCAACAGGATCTTTTGGCTTTGCGAAAATATGGCCTAAGGTCAAATAGGGTTTTAAGGCAACCTTAATATTACAATTACTTAAGATTCTCTTGATTGGTTCTGTGACACCTTGAATGTATGGAACTATTGCAAAACCCTTAACAGAGGTATCACCCTCGGAGTTATTTTGGTTCCTACAAACAGGTGGTCTCAGGCAATCATTAAGAAAACGCTTTGGGTAATTGTTTTCCCCTAAAACATTTAGAACATATTCACGTTCATTAGCTTGAGAATCACTGTTTGACGGCAACGATTCAGCTCTTTGAAGCAAAGTTTTTGCTACGGATCTTTTATGGCTTACTGGGTGATGAGAGTCGTATGACAAGTATTTGTCTGTGTGTGTGGGTTTGCGATAAACATCAGTCTCTAACTTCCCTTCGACAGTTCTGTGTACATTCAAATCTAAAAAAGCTAAATGTCCATTTATTTCACGTTCTACCGTGAATTGGATGGACGGCTCAATAGAATTTAAATGTTGCAGCAGAATATCGATCTCATTTGTAGAAACCGCAGAGATGACATCATCGACGAAACGTTTCCAAAACGATAGGGACACCGGAACAGAGGCTAACGCTCTTTGTTCGACATCTTCCATTACTAAATTAGCAATTACTGCCGAAACTGGTGACCCCATCGCTGTTCCAAAAACCTGTTGATAATAACAGCCCTCAAACACAAAGTATGTGGCGTTGAGACAAAAAGACAGAAGATCAATAATATCTTCTACAGGCAAGGATGTTCTTTGTAACAAAGTTGCATCCTGTCTTAGTCTTTTTGCCGCAACCTTGATGGCAAGATCAACTGGGATATTTGTAAACAAGGAAACGACATCAAATGATACCAACACTTGATCTGCTTTAAGAGTTTTACCTCTTACAAATTCTGCAAAATGACAGGAATTTTTGACGGTGTTTTCGGTATTTCCCACCACGGGGGACAAAATTTTCGCCAAAAAACTTGAAACTCCATATGCCGGAGAATTCACAAAGGACACAATAGGTCTCAATGGAATTTCCGGTTTATGGATTTTCTGTAAGCCATAGAAACGCGGAGATAGTCCATCACTGCTGTATAACTTTTCATATGTAGCCTTGCTGATAATATTGGATTATTGCTGATAATATTGGATTTTTGAAGAAATCCAATATTATCAGCAAGGCTACATATGAAAAGTTATACAGCAGTGATGGACTATCTCCGCGTTTCTATGGCTTACCGAAAATCCATAAACCGAAAATTCCATTGAGACCTATTGTGTCCTTTGTGAATTCTCCTACATATGGAGTTTCAAGTTTTTTGGCGAAAATTTTGTCCCCCGTGGTGGGAAATACCGAAAGCACTGTAAAAAATTCCTGTAATTTTGCAGAATTTGTAAGAGGTAAAACTCTTAAAGCAGATCAAGTGTTGGTATCATTTGATGTCGTTTCCTTGTTTACAAATATCCCAGTTGATCTTGCCATCAAGATTGCGGCAAAAAGACTAAGCAAAAAGACGCTGTTATTATCAACAGGTTTTTGGAACAGCGATGGGGTCACCAGTTTCGGCAGTAATTGCTAATTTTGTAATGGAAGATATCGAACAAAGAGCTTTAGCCTCTGTTCCGGTGTCCCTATCGTTTTGGAAACGTTTCGTCCATGATGTCATCTCTGCGGTTTCTACAAATGAGATCGATATTCTGCTGCAGCATTTAAATTCTATTGAGCCGTCCATCCAATTCACAGTAGAACGTGAGATAAATGGACATTTAGCTTTTTAGATTTGAATGTGCACAGAACTGTCGAAGGGAAGTTATAGACTGATGTTTATCGCAAACCCACACACACAGACAAATACTTGTCATACGACTCTCATCACCCAGTAAGCCATAAAAGATCCGTAGCAAAAACTTTGCTTCAAAGAGCTGAATCGTTGCCGTCAAACAGTGATTCTCAAGCTAATGAACGTGAATATGTTCTAAATGTTTTAGGGGAAAACAATTACCCAAAGCGTTTTCTTAATGATTGCCTGAGACCACCTGTTTGTAGGAACCAAAATAACTCCGAGGGTGATACCTCTGTTAAGGGTTTTGCAATAGTTCCATACATTCAAGGTGTCACAGAACCAATCAAGAGAATCTTAAATAATTGTAATATTAAGGTTGCCTTAAAACCCTATTTGACTTTAGGCCATATTTTCGCAAAGCCAAAAGATCCTGTTGAAAAAAATCAGAAGACTCATGCTATATATTCTATACCATGCGGTGACTGCGACAAAGAGTATTTGGGTCAGTCTAAACGCCAGTTTGGTACACGGCTAAAAGAACATCAAAAGGCTGTTTCAACTTTAGACAAGGGAAAATCAGCTTTAGCCGAACATGTATGTTACACCAAACACGAGATTGCGTGGGAAAACTCTAAAGTAATTACCACAAACAATCGCTATGGTCAAAGACTTTGCCTAGAAGCGTGGCATATAAATATGAGTCATATAAATGCGTGGCATATAAATATTTGCTAGAGGAATATATGCATCTTCTTGGCAGGTGACGTCATCCCTTGGGTATTTAAGAAGCCACGATCGCAGTTTTAGATCACCCCTGATGAAGACACTAGACTGGAGTGTCGAAACGTTGGGTATTGATTACAATTCGACTGGGCTTTGTAATCAAGCTTAATCATTTATTTAAACCAGAGTAGCGAGCGAAACATGATAGATATGAATTTGCTCTAAATTTCGAAAAACAGCTATTAGTATCCAGTTTTTGATGTATATAGCTTCTTTGGGTACTTATAATGTAGAATAATGAAAAAAAATTCTCGAACTCAAAATTTGTGCACCAGGGGGGTGCGTCTTTTCCAACAAATTAAAAATGGCTTGCGCACGAAATTTAAAAGCTTTAATCATATTTTGAGATAATAGATGGAAAATTTGTTGGGCTTTTAATTACTGTACAAAATTTCAGACAATTTTCTTTAGTTTAAGCCCTTTTAACTATTCACGCAAACTTACATTTTTTCTGAAAAAATCAGCTGTTTGCATGCTTAATTAATGCCTTTGCCTAATTTGCAAATGTCAGCAATATGCAAATTAGGTAAAGGCATTAATTAAGTATACGAAAGGCTGATTTTTTAGACAAAAATGCAACCTCGTTCCCAGAGCTTCAGTGTGAGGATGATGCGAGACACGAGGAAGCCCTGGTCTGGGCCGGTCACGTGACGACAAAAAATGGCAGTATTTGACAGCTACTCGTCAAGGAGTGGCGAGATATTCTTTAATGAAATATACAAGTCTTCGAAACAAATAAATAGCCAAAAGACTTCTCAATCGATATTATTTATGTGTAGAGCGAAGTTTGGCACGAATCAGCTAAAATCTATGAAGATCCCGTCTATGTTTTCTAAGATATACCGATATTTCTGGAGATTTTCAACCATGCACAGGCAAAGCTGCATCCAAGCTGCACCTAGGCGTCTCCACGCAAGTGGTGATTCACACGAAATTTCCTTTCTCTCGTCTTGAACAATATGGCTATTGCTATAATTAATATTTAGTTTAAATATGCTCTTATAGATCTGACTCAGTTCAATATAAATAAACACAAATATAAAACCTCGCGTAACCTGTTTACGCTGTACAGGAATATACGCGGATTCGCTTGTTTCGCCGGACACCAACACTTGCCGTTCAGGAGCAATGGTTGCCTACAAATTTTATCCCCTTCACAATCTTTGTTTTATTTTATCGTTTGGTCGCAATTTTCAAGTATTCGGGGTATTCTGAAACTGAAAAACTGGGTGGCGTGCGAATCTTGTAGAGACTACATCGGCCTAGGCGTAGAGCTATTAAGTAAACAAGGCCTAAATTAATTTAGTACTTTCATTTAATTGTTTGTCTTGCTTTTATTTGTCAGTACAGAATATTGTAAATTAAAATATTACTACAATGCAATACGCGTTGTATTTCATCAGACATCTGCACTAATAAATACTGTACAAGGAAAACTACAGCTTAAATATAAATAGTAGACGTTTCTTGTTTTGTCAGGAAACATAACAGCTCACTTCGACACGGCTTTTGAGTTTTGTAACCGGCCGAGGCGAAAGTAAATCATGCAGTCGGGAAAACGTCTTACTTTGAAAGATTATTATTTATTTTGCAAAACATACTCGTACACACAAGAATCATAAAAATACAAATGTTGAATTGTTATTGTCAACTGTCAAGTTCAGTTATTTTTAGACAATATGGTGTTAGCCAATCAGAATGCAAAATTGACCGGCCCACACCCAATCTCGTACCCAGAGCCATCGTTGAGTGGTACGAGATTGGCCCACACCAGGCACCAGGGCTTCCTCGTGTCTCGCCTCGTCCTTACACTGAAGCCCTGGGAACGAGGTTGACAAAAATGAATATTTAAATATTTACTTAAACTAAAGCAAATTGTCTGAAATTTTGTACAGTTATTAAAAACCCAACAAAATTAAGGCTTTTAAATTTCGTGCGCAAGCCATTTTTAATATGTTGGAAAAGACCCCCTGGTTCACAAAATTTGAGTTAGAGATTTTTTTTCATTTTTCTACATTATAAGTACCCAAAGAAACTATATATATATATATATATATATATGTATATATACCGTACCAGGAACGGGGTATCGAGGAACGGAATGAGAAAAGCCGGAATCTTTAAAACCCGGAATGAGAAAAGCCGGAATCACTGACGGAAATATTAATTTAATAATTAATTATGCCAAGTTTTGGCGGGATTCTCCGTCTCCTTTGCGTGGAGGAAACACAGTGAAGGTTAGTTTTTATAGCGAATACTATTATCAATACTGTTGAATTGAAGCTCGATTTTGCTTTACGGTGTCTTAAATGATATGAACAATGAAGTATGAAACCTGGTTCGAATAAAAAACATTTCTGAATGATAGCGGATTAGTGATACTTTGAGACGTCCTCAACTAACATTCAGTTCAACAGGTGAACAATTAAGTTGGGGCGAATATACATATTCATAATAACTTAATCGTGTAAATCTTACTCAAATATGATTTAATCAGATTCGGCTAATATAGCGCCAGGGAGTTCGCCACAGGTTTCCCCAATTCACCTTTTCAATGCAAACTTAAAGGCCCATTCAGACCGGACGCGATTTGGCAACGCCAAAATATATAGGGCGAATTAAAATATTTAGCTCGAAATTATGGCAATCTGAGAGTTCGGCTACTATTTTCCGACCTCGTGATGAATAAAGCATTCATTTGCTAATGTTTCGGTGGCATATTTATACGATCGGGTATCTCTCCGAGCTGCCAAATAATGTCTAATGAATTGTTGCACACACTTTAATTTATGCTTGGACCTGCACTATAACAACAAGGTTTAAAAACAACCATTTTCTTATATAAATTTTTAGTCGGATAGTTAGTTAGAAAATATAAAACTATATAGAAAATATAAAACTATCAAAAACGTTTGTTTGAAGACCCGAATGAAATAGCTAGCAAATTCAATGACTACTTTATTAACATGCATAGGTCCTACTCTAGCAAACAAAATCAAACACAATGAAAATGAGAGTTTTGAAAAATATCTTTCTGGCAGTTATCAGTCAAACTTTTTTCTAAATGCGATTATGGAACATGAACTTGAATTAGAACTTGAAAATATGAAGTTGAACAAAAGTTCTGGATATGATAGTATTAATGCTAACATCACAAAAATAACTGCTAAGGAAATTTCTAAGTTTTAAAATTTCATATTTTTAACTTATCATTTTCATCAGGAATTATTCCAGATAATAGTTAAAAGTCGCATTAGTTACGCCAATTTTTAGAGGCAATGAAGAAAATAGATTTGAAAATTACCGACCTATATCAGTCCTTACTTTTTTTTTCTAAACTACTGGAAAAGCTTATGGTAAAGAGACTAGTACATTTTATTGATAAGAACAAGATATTATCAAAACATCAGTATGGTTTCAGACGCAACGGGTCAACAGAACTTGCTGTACTTGATTTTGTTGAATGATAAAATCACTAAAGCAATCGAAGAAGGGAAGTTTACTGTTGGTATCTTCCTTGATTAGTTTGATTTGTCAAAAGCGTTTGACACAATTATAATCACAAGATTCTGATAAGAAAATTGGAACGTTATGGTATACGAGGAACAGCAAAAATATGGTTTGAAAATTATCTATATAATAGAAAGCAATA